GCAAAGGGTAAGGAATAGCCATTGCTTGCTCTAAGAGAGAGAATTTCAAAAAAAAAAATTAAATGAAAAAGGTTCTACTGCAAATAAGCTCATTTCAATAAAAGACCCGCTGCAAATAGTAACACCCTAATTTTAAAGTACATGTGGTATTCGTTGTAATAACTACAACCCTCTAGCATTAGCGTTTCTAACTTTCTGTTAGTTTTAGGGGAGTTTTAGGGGCGGTTGTTACATTAATACTATAGGGACCTAAAAGTTATTATAACAAGTATCAAGGGTTGATTGTAATTTATCATAATTTTAGTTACATCTCAAAATATGTAGGAGTTTTTATGCACAAGTCCCCAATCAAGCATCTTTATTATTCTAGGTTTAGGGCTATATTTCTTTCACCAATAAGTGCATCCCTTTAATATTTATTATAAATAAAGGAAACATTCATGTATATCACAATATTATTCTCAACCATTTATACTCAATTCTTAATTGTAACCCCAATTTAATCAATTTTGTCCACAAAATCCAATTTTGACCACAAAAATTCAATTTTGACTTTTTTTGGAGCATACTTTAGTATGCTCCAATTTCATCCTTAACTTAATTTAATCTCAATTTAACTCCAAATTTCACAAATTATTCAATTTTGACCCAAATTTCACAAATTATTCAATTTTGACCCAAAACTTTTTTTTTCAAAAAAAAAAAAAAAAGTGCCGCCGGATTCCGGTGTTGACTTTTCATTTTTCTTTTCTTTTCTTTTCTTTTCTTCCGGATTTTTTAGCCGGTTTCCGGCTTTGACTTTTTTAGTGTTTTTTTAAGTTTTTTTTTTTTTTTTTTTTTTTACGTCCGCCGCTAAACGTTGACCGTAATTGTGCTGTCACTGACAGTAAATTAAGGTAATTATACTGTCAATGACAGTTAATTAACGTAATTGTACTGCCGTTGACAATACATTTATGTAATTGTTCTGCCGTTGACAGTAAATTAACGTAATATTATTATTTTTTATTTTTTGTTATTTTTTTAATTTTTTTTTTGATTTGTTGACAAGTCAACGTAATTATATTACTGTCTATTATTGTAATATTACTGTAGTTGACGGTAATATTACTGTTGTTATAGCAATATTACTTTATTACACAATAATAATGAGTTTTGTTGTGTTAATATTACTGTGCTAGAGATTAATATAGCAATATTACTGTGTTAAACTATAGTTTAGTTAATTCTACTGTGTTTAACAGTAATATAGTTAATATTACTGTCAATCACAACAATTTTGTTTTTTAAACGGAAAAAAAAAGTTACTGAAAGAAAGAAAAGAAGAAAAAAAATTAAAAAAAGTCAATGCCGGAGACCGGTGTTGACAGCCGCCAGAATCCGGCGAAAAAATCCGGAAGAAAAAAAATCCGCCGGTCGACACCGGAATCCGGCGGGGAATTTGTTTTTTGAAAAAAAAAAGTTTGGGTCAAAATTGAATAATTTGTGAAATTTGGGGTCAAATTGAAGTTAAATTAAGTTAATGATGAAATTGGAGCATATTAAAATATGAGGGGTTATTTTAATTCTTTACAAAAATTTGGATCACGTGTGAACTTATTGGTAAAAGAGTTTTTTGTCTGGATCTATTTATGAATAAATATCCATTGATGGGGCTTATTTGTAAAGACCCCAAATATGTATAGTGAAAAATGCCAAGTTATGCTGCTGATTCAGTGAAGCCCATTTCTTGTGAATATATTAAGTGCCACTTCTTCTGTAACATGTAATGGGCTTTTAGTACTCTGTTTTTCCATGTGCTCTTGTTTTTATTTCTTTTTTGCCCTTTTAATAAATTCAAGAGAGCTATTTAAGAAATAATAAACTGTGCCACTTGAAATTATATATATTTTCTCTAAATATTTTCAAGGACAAATTCGTGGATGTGACGTCATTAACTTGGGGGGCTTAGGCTCGTAATCGTTTTGTAGAACCGACACTTGCATAATAATACAATGTATGTATGCTTAGTTGGTAGTTATTTATGTAAATTTACGATTTAAAGGCGCATGTTGTATTTCATCAGGTGTAGAATTTCATAAGCCGTTGGTAATTGGCATGTTCTATCAATTTGGGATTGAGCCCAATGTAACAATAATTCATATTTAAACATTAAAAATAAAATAAAATAAATAAAACAGAAATGTCTCTTGGAGATAATACAAGAGATCAAATTGTCAGAAAATGTCTGTTGGGCAAAGCTGAATCTTCGAATCAATGCCTAGGAATTCTTGGATCCAGGAGCATCCTAGTATACTATTACAACACACCATGCTCTTTTGTTGCCTCAAATTTACGTAGTTGATATTATAACTATTGAAATATATATAAATATCAAAGTATTCACCTTACTAATAACTTCATCTTTTAGATAAAGTGATCATTCAATGTCGTATCAGAGCGGACCAAATGAGAAGTTTGGTGTTTAAATTCCATCGCCACACGATAGGTACTGTGGAAATCAAACTAATCGGAGTTAACACTTCCGGAAAAATTCGGATATTTTTTTTTCTGAAGTAAAAACCAACTCTGAATATGTTCCACAAAGAATCGGAAATCGGAAATCAGAATTTTAAAATTGGAATGTAAAATAAAAAAAAATATATTACAAAATTGGAAATTTTCTGATTGGAATCAGCGGGATTTGAATTGTTTTAAATTTTAATCACCTCAAATATAAAACACCTAATAATATTGATATTATAAGTGTAGTATTCGAAAAAAATGAATTGTTGGAAATTAAATTCAGGCGGGAAATCGGAATCTCATCTATATTCCAATTTCAATAAAAAACCAAAAGAATCCAAAATCGAAATTTCGGAGTGAAAAATATTGTTCCAAAATCGGAAAAATTCGAATTGAAATCGACGAAAATCGAAAATCGAAATTTTAATTCCAAATACCGTCCCTAGCCACACATCAAAAAAGAAAATCACTGCAATTATCTCACTAACATCTTAAACTATTAGATGATATATGTACATCATTCGATCATAACACATCCACTTAATTTCCTAATGAAATGCACACATTTGTATGTATATATATATATATATATATATATATATATATATATATATATATATATATATATATATATATATATAAAATGAAGGAACTCGCTCATATAAGTGCACTGGGGGTAAATTTACAGTACTCTTGTATAATAGGTTACAAGCCATATAAGAGAAATATACTACACTGCGCTAACCAATGTGTACTGATAAACATCGATCTAGCAACCATTGGCAAGATGATTCGAACTTGAGTCAATTGACACAAGCTCACTTGCTCCAACCGATAGATCGTCCCTTACGAGACTCTATGAAATGATTTGAGTTAAAGAATTAGTGGGTAATGGATGTTTGTTTTAATTGGAGGAAAGAGTGTGTATTATTATTACATTACGTAATTTGATATAGTCAAGAAGGCTTATCTTCAATCCACATCTCATACTTTAATTGGTAAATGAGTACAATATTTCCCACTCCCATCTGTTCAACTTCATTAAACAAAGTGTAAAGCTTAAACCATTCTTAATTATGTGATTGGACTTATGATTAGATGCCCCATCCTCAATTTTTAAACTCCCATTATTAATTAATTAATTAATTAAAATCTTTAGCATTTTTATTTAATTGATATGAAATTATTAAATGTTTATAAAATGCACTGAATAATTCTTTTTTTGTTTATGAACCGACAAGGTGCTCTTCTGCTGCCTTTAATGGAGGCGACACCCCTTTGATTCCTCTCTCTCTCTTACACACACACACACTCTCTCTCACACACACGAAGGATAATTATTTACACTTCACATTTTACACAACAACTTTTCTTTTAATTCTTTTTATTTACTGAAATAATAAATACTGGACGACTTTTAGTAAACGATGAATATATTTTTTTTTTACTAAACAATCAAAAAATTATATTCGATGCAAAATATTTACTATAATCGACTTTTAGAAATGTATCGAAATAATATTGCTCCATATATAGAATTAGTAATAAAATTATAAGATGTTTTAAAATAAATATAAATAAAAATGTAAAAGGAGAAATAAGAGAGGGTGGGTATTAAATTCCAATTTGTTTTTTTCGTTTTAATTAAAGTGTCCTATATATATTTACAAGCTAGAAGTCATCCCTCACTTTGATTTAACCCTCAATAATCACCTCTCCTTAGCTTGCTATATATATGGGCAAATTACGGCTAACCCTATGAGGTAATGTCAAATTATGAAAACATCTTTTATGTTTGGATAATTACAATTATTCCATCAACTATGATTTTTCTTCTTACATGTCAACTCTTGTAGTGTCAAATTTAGTGGAATCTTTTAAATTATGTAGAATATTCTCCGGTTTGTACCCATTTTACCCCTCCACATTTTGAAACAAGATGATCATAAGATGTGTTTATTGACTTGTAAATATCAGATTGTGGTATATCAGAAACTGCATTTTTGCACAAAACGAGTACAAATTAGAGAACATTTCACTTAACCTCCGTTGAATTTGACACGATAAGGATGAACGTGTAAAAAGATTCATAGTTGATAGTGTAATCGTAATTACTCAAACACAAGGGGTCTTTTCGTAATTTACCACCTCCCTTACTGTGTGTACTGCGTGTATTCCATACTATATATACAACTTACTCTCCAGCACAATAGACTCAATAATCAAGCCCACATACAGCAAACTCATTTCCCATAAGCAAAACTCCTCTTTCTTCGGTTATCGATCTTTCTTCGGTTATCGAATCTTTCTTCGAACCGATAATTAATTAATCTTCGATATGAATAATAATTACGAGGGCAACAACACTTCCCTTAACCTAAACCCAAGAAAGAGAAGCAAAGTGATAAACCTAGACCTAGTACTCGACCCCAACAATTTGTCTCCAGTTTCTTCCCCTACAATTCTTTCTCCTCCTTTGAGCCCCATGGCAGCCGCAGACCAACGTGTCTTTTCTTGCAACTTCTGCAGAAGGAAGTTTTACAGCTCACAAGCACTCGGCGGCCATCAAAACGCCCACAAACTCGAGAGAACGCTTGCCAAGAAAAGCCGGGAACTCAGCTCGCCCGTCGTTAGGCCCCACTCGGGCTCCAACCGGCCCGGATCCAGCTACGACCCGTTTTACGGGTTCAATACGGGTCGGGTTGGAAGAAACGATCCTAATTATGGATGGATTAATGGTGGCGATGAATACAATATGAGTAGTAGTACTCATCAAGAAGAACACGGCCAGCTTGATTTGTCTTTAAGGCTTTGATGCGGTTTGTTAATTTTTCTTTTTTTAATTATTATTATTAGCTGATTAAAGATTAATATTAATTAGTTAATAAGTAGATATATATTAATTAATTGTGAAGCACTTTCTTGCATGTTGGTGAAGTATTGAATTAATTTTTGCGTGATTTCAATTGATTTTGTAATGTTTGGATCAGAACCGATCCATATAAAGTACAGGCTTCTGTAGATGGTGTAATTGATCAACTTTGCTTCATATAAATATATTGAATTATATATGTCAAAGACTATATATATTCTCATTTATATATAATTGTAAATAGGTATTGCATAAATGTTGGATCTTGAATAAACAAAAATAAAAGTTGACAATTGAATATACATGTATGTTCAACCTATTTTAGAAACATGGTTTACTATTTATTTGACATAAAGTAGTTACGGAGAATGCAGAATACCTTTGTTTGACTATATTCAATATATTAAGGGTGCACAATATAAAATTCTCCACGTTAAGAAAAAAAAGGGTAAATTACGAGAAACCCCTGAGGTAAGGTATAATTATGGAAACCTCCCTCATGTTTGTGTAATTACAAAAATCCACCTGAGATATGTTGCCGTTTTACACAATCACTCTATGGTGTTACTTTTGATGGAATCATTTTGATTCCATTTAATATTAATCTGGAAATGGTCATTTTTGCCCTTAAGGTGATTGTAAGCATATTAATTACTTAGGAGGTAAATTATAATATACTTAAGTAACCATAATTATTTTTAATTTTAAAACTATGATGTATTTCTTCATTTTATAATTAAAAAAATAGAAAATATAAATAAAAAAGAATTAAACATATCTTGTAACATTCCAAAGTTTGTTTTTTATATATATATATTTATAATTTTGTGTTCAATAAACTGATTTAGATATTTTGGAAATATTTTCGTATTTCTTATTTTAGGTTACAAATATTTTTATTATTTTTTAATATTCTTTTTTATAAATTTCAATTTTAAACAAATGAAAGGAAATATTTATAAATTAAATATAAATAATAATAAATAAATCAAAATTGCAACTCAATGTGATCAAAGATGTCATCGTTTTTTTACTTCTTTCGTCTTAGGTATGTCAGGGTAATCGTCAATATATTATTTTTCTCGTGAAATATATCACCATAGGAGGCCTATGTAAGACGGTGACATACCTCGGGGGGGTTTTGTAATTAAGCAAATAGGGGTGGTGGGATTTTTGTGATTAGACATTATCTCATGGAGTTCTTGTAACATACCATTTATTTATTTTGTTCAAATAACATAAGAGTAAAACGGACTTATATTTAGTTTGCCATTCCTAGATTTTGAGTAGGCTAGGCCACCCTAGTTTAAATAAAAATATGGTAGTGGTATTGGTAATATGGAAAATGAAGGGATTTTATATAAGATTGGACATACATTCTCTACATCTAATTAATTAGTTAGATCTAAATTGAAAATATTTCCTTTCAAGTGCAATCCAAAGTTGGTGTAATGTTTAAAGTCTAGTTACAAGTTACAATTATATAGGCTATGTTTGGATGCTGTAAACTCACTTTCAACATCTAATTTGGGCATGCCGTGACGACATCTCTCTTAACAAGTGTCTCACTTCTCAACATCCAATTATAGAGTTGCGATTAATATTAACAAAGGTGATTGCACTAGTAAATTAGGTTCGATCAGGGGTGGACGTCGTATGGAACAGATCGGAATTAGTTTTTTCGAAAATTTTCAAAAAAATTCGGAAGTACAAAATCAATTCCAATTTTAAAATTTTCGAAATCTAAAAATTCATTCCTATTTCAAAAGACCCGGACATTTTGGAATTTCGGAAATCACATAAGATTTAAAATTTCAAAACATAGAGGAAATTTTCTGAAATTTATAATTTTCAAAAAATAAGAACATCCACGTCGATAAAAACTAGTACCTACTACGTTTCAGTTCAAAAAAATAACTATAAATAAACACATCAGAATGTCCAATAAAACTTCTAACAACAATTCAATATATCAAATCCTAAAACAAAACTCAATCAAATCACTGTTTCAGAAAACAAAACAAAAAACTTAAAATAAGAATTATATAATATATATATTATATATTTATAAGTGTATTTTTCGGAAAGAAAATCGGATTTTTTTCGAAATTAAATCGGATTTGAAATCGGAAATTCCATATTTCTTTTACATAATTCCAATTTCAATCCAAACAAATCGGGAAAATTCGGAAATCGGAATTTCGTAAGTCGAATCAAAAAATTTGTTTCAAAATCGAAACTTTTCAGATCGAAATTAGCGGAATTAAAATTCCCGTTCCAACTTGCACCACCGCTAGGTCAAATTGTTTAATATTAGTAGACCATTTTGAGATAAATTCAGTTATTTAATATTTTAATATATAATTATTTGATAAACGACACCTCTAACGTTCTTTGTGAGTCACATCACATTGGAGAGATCCCATCAACGGTGCTCGCACCCCTGGAACTCTCGTCGAAGGGGCTTGCATCAACGGTGCTCTCACCATAAGTGCCCGCACCCTATAATAGCTTACATCAAAGGAGCTCGAATCAACCGCGTGCACTCGCACCAACAGTGTCAAAAGGGTTTGGCTATCTCTCATAATTTCACATTTCACATTTTTTTATATTATAACACATTCAAATTTATTTTAACAATAACTTCTTACAAAATTTGATAATAATTAGATCACGGAGTTTTTGCATTAACATTGATAGAAATTAGAATTAAAGAAATATTAATAAAATTTTATTCATTCGAAACCTTTGGTCTGTTCTTTTATATAACTTATTGCTTCCTTTATTAAGATTTTAACCTCTTCTTTGGGGAGCTTATTTAGTATTTTTTTAATCATACAAAAACATTTTTGTGTGATTTAATGCTTATTTGAATATTATTTTATTGAATTACAAGATAGTTTAGCTAATTTCCGAAATTAGATGCTACCTTTTATAACTTTATTTTTTTTTCTACACACTTTTGTTGAATGTGCGACTTATAAAACGTGAAAGGCGGGGTTCACGTTTACTTTACGACATTTGCCGCTATGAATGTTTTTGTAACATCGACAATTTTCAATGATAAACTTTATAATTACCTAGATTTGTTAGACCAAACTTTGGAACACTTTCATTAGAGATAGGAAATTTTATTGTCAAAAATGTTATATGTATAGAGAGATAAACCATATAGTGTAAGTTTGAGTAGGACTAATTTGATTTTATGTTTGAAAACTTGAGAGAGTTTAGTACACTTTAACTAGTATAATTTGGCACGGAACGGCTCTCGTGGACCCAACGTTGTACTATTAAAGTAGAAGAATATGCAACAATTATTTGTTGCAAAACTTATGTGCATGCATTCACATAGGTATATAATTAAGCATGTATTATTAGGGCTGGGCATGAGTTGGTTTTATCGACCAACTGGCTCGACCCGCTTCTTTTGGTCGATAATTTTATTGTCAGACCGGTAATTAATCGACCCATAAATAAATGAGACGATCGGTGGTTTTCAGTTTGCTCAAAAGTTGGTTGGTCAGGTAATATCGGTCACTGATTCTTTTTAATAGTTTTTTTTATTATAAATACTAGCATTTTCCCCGTGCGATGCACGGGATATTATTTCAAAAGTGAAAAAAATATCAATTTAATTATCTCTTAAGATTTGAGATATATTGATGAAGAATAAGAGATTAATAATCGTTGAAAATTATTGTTAGAAAATTAGTAGAGAAAAATATTAAAAATAAATAATTACAGAAGTACCATTATGATAGGATTTTTCGCGGTTTAGTTTCAATTTTGATAATTGTTAAAAACTATATTTAAAAATTAGTAGTATTAAAAAAATTAAAAATAAATAATTAAAAAAATACCATTAGGATTTTTCTAGAGTTGCCCCGCGTTTCTTTCTTTTATATATAAGATTTAATTGTAATTCTTATTTTTCTAATGTTGAAATAACATATAAAAGAAGTTCAAACTCAAAAACCCAATATAGAAATTTATAAACCTCTTCGTATAATTTCTCTGTTATAATTCTTATTTCATATTCTTCATTATATATTTACTTATTGTAGAAGTTTAATAAAAAAATACTCTTAATTTTAAAGTTAAAATGATTAAAACATAAGTTTTCCGAAATTTTTGAATAACTTTTAAAAATATTTTATTTATTGTAAAAAAAACAAATAATAAAAAAAAGTCAATAAATAGATGGTCTATCATACCAACCAACCACTCATTGTTTATCCAAAAAAGTCGATTGTCAACTGTTGATTTTAAATGCCTATGAATATCTACTCATCTGTTGAGACAGATTACGTGTTACGACATTAGGTGTGGTAACAGTATTCTTGTGTTGTCACGGTAATTAACCTACTAAAAGCAAAATAAAAAACACAAGAATTTAATGTGGTTCGGATACAAACGTACCCTACATCCACGAGGACTTGCAAAACTAGTTCAGATTTAAGTGTACATTAATAGGACTTAATAAAAACAATAAAGACTCCCTCTTTATGTAATATGTCGTTCTTGCACACGACTCGAACTTGTTGATAATTAAAGCAATTCCTCATCCGCACTCTTGGACTTCCTCCATTGTTGAACTTCCTTCAAACGGCGGATCGACCTCTCCCGAGATCTTTTAAGCACTTCTCCCGAAACGCCGATCTTCTTTATGGCCTGGTAGAAGAAACCTGTTCTGTTGCCACACTTGATGTGCCGACAGGGCTGCAGCACGGGCTGCACCCTTGAAAGTTTTTATGCTGGGATTTTTCTTATTAAAGCTCCATAGGACTCATATGAGGTTGAAGGCCTTATATAGGCACGGAATCCACCACCCTAAACCTAACTTGAGCCCTAAGAAATCGATTAACTAGGTAACAGAATCCTAGTCGATTTCTACTTCTATTCTAGATAAATACAAAAGATACCTAACTATAATACAATACATGGAAATAAATCTAAGTCCTAATAAAAATATTACAAGAATAGGACTCTAATTAATTTTAAAATAAACATGGAAAACAAATCTTTGCCAATCTTTAATTTTCACGTATGGCGGATTTCTTCAATCTTCACTAACAGAAATCTGGTGCCAACAACAACCATTGTCCGATCCATAAGTGTCGGACCGATAATAGTTTTCAACTTTGAGCAAAAATCGGGTGGTAGGATTGAATACATAATTGACCGATAATTGGCCGACCCAACCCATCCCAGTCCTATGATAATCTAAAAAAGGCAATTCAAATAAATGGTGAAGCGAGTTAAATTGATTAGTATGACTCTATTTCATGAACCTAATATGCAAAGACAATTAGGGTCATTTCTGATATGTTAGAAACCGAAATCGAAATTCAGACCCGAAATCTAGAAATTCGAGAACCGAAACCTAAAAATCTGAAACCCAAAAATCCGAGATCCGAAACCCAAAACTAGAAATCAAAAAAATCCAGAAACCCGAAAACCAGAGATCCGAAACACGAAAACTCAAAACCCATAAACACAAAATCCAAAAACCCGGAACCCAAAACTTTAGCATGGAGACACATTGAAGTCTGCAGATATAAATATCAAATAATTCACCTCCCTAATAATAATTTAACGTTTCGGATGAAGTGGTCGTTCAACAATATTTCCAAACAAAAACTACCGTTCCCCACATAATAATCACTTACATCAATAAATTATACATATATAATTAAGGAATCGAGGAGAGATTAATATTTTTCAAACAATCTTAACTTACAACCAACTTGATAAGTAGCACAAAAAACAGGTCATAAAAAATTAAAACATTTTTTTTTTTTTTTTTTTTTTTTTTTTTTTTTTTTTTTTTTTTTTGGTAATGCAGGAACCCGCAGCCAACCATATAGGTGCACTGGAAAATTAAAACATTATTGTACAATACTAACGTTGTCAATGACAATAATAAATAAAAAAACATTAATTATCTGCCCTTGAGCAGAAGGAACTGCTTAGGTGAATAAAGTCTGAACAGAGCATATGCAGACATGGTAGAAATAATGGCCATTAAAATAGCTGCAATATAACTACATACAAGGGCCCCACCAATTTGAAAACAAAACCTTGTGTACCTATTGCATAATTTCATCCACTGGAAACTTTCCTCGCCGGTAACCGCCAGCGCCGATGCTTGGATTGCCGCCGTGTTGGCGGCAAAAACCACGTACGCTGCTGCCTGTGTTAGTTATTGGTAGAGTTGTATTTCAAGTACTGGTCAGTTGGTTATTTACATCGGTTGGATTTCAAGTATTGATCTGATTAAATAATCACTCACTAAACACGCTTACGCTGTATAAATAATGAGGTGTAACATCTAAGTAATCTATGTAAAATTGTATAAGAAATGAATTAATTAATTTCCCCATGCCTCGTGATAAAATATAATTCACTAGCCATTTGTGAATATACAAAGAAAAGGTTGTACACTTTCCTAGTAAATAAAAAACTTAACATTAGAGTGAATTGCAAAAAAAAAAAAAAAAGTGTGTTATTTCGAATTGTTAAAAAACTCTTCGTGTTATTAATTAATACAAGCAAAACGTTTCTTACGATGATCGTTTTTATAACACAACCTCTACACGAGAGTTTATAGTGGTAATTTGCTAAAATGTCGAAATTGAATTATATGAGATTTTTTTCTAATAAAAGTAATAGAAATTTTATTTTTTAATAAACACTTGGAGCAAAAACATAGATATGTCAAAATAGTAAAATACAATAAACTCATAATAAATATATAGTATTAGTAGCATTTACTTCCATAAATTGTTCCAACCGTATGCTAGTGACATATAGCGACGCCGTGTTGCACATCTTTGCACCACATCAAATGTGAATATGCATTATTCTTTTTTTTTTTTTTTCTTTTTTCTTTTTTCTTTTTTATAATGATAAGATTGTATTCGGATTTCAAAACATTACTAAACACCTCAATTTTAACTATAAACAATTATAATATTACTCCACATGCAATCACTAATTACTATTTTAGTACAGAAGTTTTGCAAACACCATCTTTCAATTAGTAAACTTAATATATATATTTTCTTAGCAACTTTCTGTAGGAGAGTTAGAATCTTCTTACACATCCACGCGGTGTCAAATTTAGTATAATCTTCTAACTTATATGGAATATTCTTCAGTTTGTACCCGTTTTACCTCATTTGGGTTTACATTTTGAAATAAGATGATCATAAAATGAGTTTCTTGGCTTATAAATATCAGATTGTGGTGCATCAGAAATTGCATTTTGCACAAAACGAGTACAAGCTATATACAACATTCCACGGAATCTAGAAGATTATGTTGGATTTGACACCATAAGGATGAATGTATTAGAAGAGTCATAGTTAAGAAGGTGATTGTAATTACACAAACATGAGGAGATTTTTTTTTTTTTTTTGTTATTTAACATCACGTAGTAGTGACCGTAATTTACACACACATATATAGATACTGCCATATATTCGATAGATGAAATTGATGAAAATTACCTGGTCAAGAAAGTAAACTCCCCAAGCAAGATTCTTGTAAGGAGCTGTAATAAGATTCTTTCTGAAACTTCTGAAGAGTTGGAGAAGATTATACACAGCTGCTCCACTATCAATCCATACTAACAAACTAACAAGAGAAGCAAAAAAACATCAAAAAATAAAAAAATTGGAAAATAAAATAAAATAGAATTAATAGAAATGAAATGAAACTTACTATAAGGCATCCAAGTCTCTGAAAGTTGCTTTTCTGGTGAATGTATAAAAGATAACTTTTGTTTGAGTGTCCAAACCCACAAGACAAGCACTCAGTACCAATAGAACAGTTGAAATAATCCTCAGAAAAACTCCCATTTTCCTAGTATCCATGTTCACTAATCACTTATTTCTAATAACCAATTGTTTCTGTATCTATTTATATATATATATATAGAGAGAGAGAGAGGAGAGAGAAACCATGTGCTTCCTGTGCGAGTCTCCCTTGAAGCATTAATGGGGGTAATTTTTTAGATGTAAGTTTAATTTATCCTGCGGTCATAGAAAATGTTCACTCTGAAATATATCATTTAATATTAATATTTTTAATTCTAATTTTTTTTTTTGTTGTATTTTCGGATTGACTATATGACAGTTGTCACAAATATCTTACTTTCAATTCATGAAGATACGTCGAATCAAGTCCCGTAAAAGATTGCCTAACGGTTGGATAAATGAATTTGTGTTAATTTATCCAAATTTGAATCTTATTATCAATAGTCGCTAGGTGGATACGAGATTGCATTGTAAGTTTAATCAGTGCATTTACATGATTGACTGCAGGTTATTTCATTACGAAAAAAAAAAAAAATCGGTGAAGTTTGTCGTGCATGATTAGCTTAGTGTAGTTTAAGTCGTTTGTATGGTTTGTAAGCTATTATACGAGAGTGTAAGTTTATCCACTGTACCTACATTGTTGGCAGCAAGTTTCTTCGTTACAAAAAAAAAAGTCAGAATCGAACAATCTAAGCTATAGCAACCTCTTTAGTCTTTGCAATATTAACTGATCAGTACAAAAACTAGTTGTAACTTAGGTTTGCATAAAGTCCAAATCAAAGTGTGATGCCCAACTGCACAAACATACATCATTTTCCAATTTCTTGCAAAGAATTAAATTTTTGGGACTTGTTTGGTGGTGGGTGATTATCCACTTGATTGATTGCCCATCCATACAGCTTCACCACTTGTGTATGTCACGTTGATCGACATCTACAAAAACAAAAAAAAATATTAAAATTATCTATCAATAATTTTTATTCCGTATTCTAAAGTTCCAATTTCCGATTTTACAGATTTTCTTTGGATCAAAGATGAAATATATACCAGATTATGATTTTCGGTCATTTTGGAAAAAATCAGAAATAAGAATTTCGAACAATGGTTTTCTGTTCAGTATTTTGAATGTACGAGTTTCGTATTTTTATTCCATCAAAAGTGAAATGCGTATGCAATTCATTTTGAGAAAAATCGAAAATCGGAATTCGAACTAATATCCGTCAAACGACAGTTGAGGCCCAAATAGTGAGCCCATCACTCACTAATTTGTTGGACCACAATTATGAATTTATGATGTAGCCCACTAACTACTTTTGAATTATGATGGAAATTGAAACGAAATTTTCAAAATGGAATTGCTTTTTGCAGTTTGAAAATTGCTATTTGCGGTTTATAACAAAAAACACTTTATTTATTTAAAACCCCAAAATTTCTCAAAAAAATTCAAAAACCCCCCCAAAACGCGTAAAAGCCCAACTTGGGCGCGCATTCATGCACTGCACGTCCAAGTTGGGCGTGCAAGCTGCATTTGAGCGCCCGAGTTGGGCGTCCAGTGCAAATTTTATTTATTTTTATTTTTTTTAAATGTTCGAACGCACAAGATGGGCACCCAAGGCGTGTACGGGCGTTCGTACACGCCTTGGGCGCCCATCTTGGGCGTTCGAACATTTTTTTGCGAAAAAAAAAGCCCTACAAATTGATTTGTAGGGCTTTTTAACATGAAATTGGTTCCGTAATCGAACTACCCAATGCATATTACACATAAAAGAATCGAAATTACATCAAAAAATCGAAGCCCCTTGATTTTGAATTTTCGATTTCTTTTTCTTTTTTTCCCCTATTTGAAGTTTGGGTGGTTTTTTGATTTTCTTAGAAAGTTTTGGGGGTTTTGTGAAAAAACCGCAAATAACAATTTCATAACCGTAAATAGCATTTCATTTTCAAATATCACTTAAAAAAAGAAATAAATGTATCGATTAAAAAGACAATAATAAATACTTTATTATAATATACAAGAGTCGAACATAAAATCAACATTAGACACTCAAAAGTAACCACGGCTTCATACTAAATTACATATCTACAAGAAGGAAGGACTAAAAAGTTAAAAACACAAAAACAAAGGGACCAAACAGCAAATCCTAATTATTATAGCATTCCACCGGAAAACCCTGCGGGAAGCGTTTGGCATCGGTGCAATAGTTATAAATCATGTAATTCCTCTGAACCCATCTCAGCTTCGCTTCATATCTGGGACCCAGTTTCTCCGACAGCCACCACGGGCTGCTCCTCCTCTTAGTCGCCGCCGCAGAAGCACAGTACGCCGCCGCATCGCCGCCGCTGGCGACGCAGGCATCGTCGGCGTTGAAGTTTCTGTAGGAAGCGATGAATGGGGCTTGAGTCCAGTCGGTCTTGATCAGGCCGCCTCTCGTGGCCCATTGATCGGCGTTCCAAATGCTGGAGTAGAGCTTCATTGGCTGGTTTTTGGGGAATGGGACTCCTTTGTTTTCTAGGTTCTTGAATTCTCTTAGGGGTGTGTTGTCCACTGAGAATCTATTGCAAGGATAAATTTGTAATTTCTTCACTAATTAAGACATGTTTTTGTAGCAACTTTTTTATTTCGAATTTCAATAAATTATTGATTTTTTTTTCCTCTAAAATTTGCCATTACTCCTAAGAAATTAATGGTGAAATAATTAACTAGATGGGATTTTTTAACAGTTTTATTAAAAAATTACTAAAATTCATGTCCATTATGTTTGTCTTTTTTTAATATTGTGTACATCAGCCCAAAACGGCAAATAAAATGAAGTCCAAAACAGCAAATAAAATGAAAACCAGCAGATAAAATGAGAAGTAGAAAGCCCTTGTAATGAATTAAGAAAATCAATGAATATGCATGGATTATAGTAAAAAAAAAAAGAAAAAAAAAGTTGCTATTCGATAAAAGGAATATATTTTTGGGTATTAAAGTCCAAAACGGCAAATAAAATGAAAACCATAAAACGAAAACCAGCAAATAAAATGAGAAGTAGAGAGCCCTCGTAATGAATTAAGAAAATCAATGAATATGCATGGATTATAGTAAAAAAAAAAAAAATTGCTATTCGATAAAAGGAATATTTTTTGACTAAAATAGCCTTGTCAGTAAAACAATTTTTATTAGTTATTTCCACAAGAAGTTAATAGTAAGGAAAGAGCAAATATGAGAGAAACAACGTATCATTGAATTTGAACTTACTAGTGATAAATTTGTTTTAAAGTGATGTGAGTGGGGGGTAAAAGGGTAAACTTACAGAATAGTTTGGGGGCTCCAAAGAAGAGAGTAAGTATGAAAATCAGTAGTAGGATCAAACCACAAGTGAAACTGCTGCTCTCTATCACCTTTCCCTTGTGTGTACACATTTGTATGCACAGTGTACGGCTCCCCACTCACATTCCCCAAGAACTCAAAATCTATTTCATCGTGCTTCAATCCTCCCCCAGAAGACAACTGCAATTTATTTAATGTTCATATAATACATAATAATCACTTTTAAAAACACACATGTACAGGTTGTATTTGCAAATGATTATTTAAAACCAGAATTAAGTTAGTGATTGTGAGTTAGATCAGTTTTAAGTTCTTATTTCTAAGAGTTGGGGTGTTTGCAATTATTCCGAAAAAAGCACGGTTAGGGGTACTTTTACAAAAAATAGCCTAAAACAGATTATTTTAATAAAAACAAAAACAAAAATTAATATTGCAAACACTTGTAAACAGATGATGAGCCAAAATAAATTCATAATCACTTTCAAAGAGCTTTTGCAAACCATAAAGATTAATTAATAATGAGAGAAACAGATTAATTACGTAGAAAGCGGTGACGGTTCCGGCGGAGTTTCCGGGCACGAGCTTGAGCTGCATGTCGATCTTCCCGAACAAATACTCCTTCTTCGATTGAAAACCCGACCCGGAATAGTTGTCGAGCGACAGCGTTAGAAAATCCCCGTTTTCGAGGATTTTACCGCGCCCTTCGCCCCAGCTTATGTCGAAATCTTCGAAATAGTTGCCGCCCGAAACTACGTAATTATTCGAAGTGATTATTAGTGAGAATGTAAGTAGTAAAAGTGCAGCATTTGTTGATGAACATGAAAACAATGCCATTTTATCTTTTTACCCTTGAGTAATTTCTTACTTAGTTAATTATTGGTTATGGAGATAGTGTGTATGTACATGTATATATATAGGAGGTGAGGGTGCATGTAGATACAAAAAGGGATAAAAGATATACGTGGGTTTTGTGTTGGTGTGAGAAGATGACATCTGGAATATTCTTTGGGGGAGTGGCAAAATTGGTAAATAAGAGAAGCATGCATTCACAGTTGTGAACAGCTAGCTGTGGAGTAGATAAGTATTAAGGTATTTTAATTCATTTAATTTCATAGTCATGATACTTTGGTTTAAAAGCAATTCAGAATGCAGAGGTGTGCTGTTAAGAGAAGGAGAAGTGAGAGAAAGAGGTAGAGAGAGAAAGGGGGTCTCGAAATTGAGAATTAATGTTGTATGTTTCTACCGATTAATTTTATTGGTTCAATTTGTTGGACCAATTTGTTATTACAATAATGTATCCTGTCTGCATTATTAATAGTGTCCTTTACAATTCATGTGACCAGCTTTGGAGATGCCACTTTAATAGAAAATCAAAATTGTGCCAATATTGCAGTGTTTAGTATAACTTTCCTATAATTAAATAACAAAAAACTTTAAAAACAACAAGAAATTAGTTTTTTTTTCTATGAACTACAGCGATACGGGCTAGTTTGCCCAGTTCATTGGGCTTCATTAGTATCGGTCCAAAAATCTTAAGATATAAAAAGTCCACAAACATAAGGCCCAAATGAGTAGTTATAAGAGCTCTCCAACGAGTTGAAGACTTAAAGAACTCACTAACGAGTAGTGCTCTCTCACGAGTTGAGTCTTCTGACGAGCTATGCTCTCTCGCAAGTTGGGCTCTCCAATGAGCTGAAGACCTAGAAAATTTTCTAACGAGTTGTGCCCTCGGAAGAGTTGAAGATCTAGAGAGCTCTCTGACGAGTTGGTATCTCTGACGAGTTGTGCCCTCTGACGAGCTGCAAACCTAGAGAGCTCTTTGACGAGTGGGTATCTCTGACGAGTTGTTCTCTTTAACAAGCTGAAGACCTAGAGAGCTCTCTGACGAGTTGGACTCTCCAACTTGTTGAACACCTATAAAGCTATATGACGAATTGTGCTCTCTGACGAGCCGAGCTCTCCAATGAGCTGAAGACCTAGAGAGCTCTCCGATGAGTTGTGCCCTCTGACGAGCTAAAGACGTAGAGAGCTGTCTGATGAGTTGAAGACCTAGAGAGTTTTTGACTAGCTCTGCTCTCCGACAAACTGAAGACCTAGAATGTGTAATTTCAAGTGTTGTAAAGTTAACTCGGTTGTAGTAGTTGAAACTCGGAGTTGGAAGAAAGACCCCGACACTTGTTAGATTTTGGTTTCTTTTTTTATGAGGGGACAATTTTCGTATACCAATAACTATTATATATACACAACATTTGTACTTTGTGTATTCAATTCAATGTTCCCAAATGTTCCTCTTTCAAAACACTGCAATTTGGATGTGGAGTTTCGATTGTACTAGACTTGACTATCCCATAAAAGTCAACGCGACAGCAAGACATACTCTCTAAGACATATTCTCTAGCTGCAGACATCCCAAGATAATATGGTCTTTGCCGTGGTAGGACTGTTATTATGATTATTTAGTTATAAACTCCAATTTTTCATATACTACATACAGTGAATATGGGACCATATATTATCTATTTTCCAATTCTTTTTTTTTTTTAAATAATCAAAACAATAAATAATAAACTGAAAATTGGAATTAGAGTTTTAAAATAGATGGCTAGTTACCCCACAATAGTTTTAAAAAAAAATTATTAACTTGATTAATTAGTATCTACTAAGGTGGTGTTTGCAAAAGCTTATTTAAAAACAGAAATTAATGATTGTGAGTTAAGTTGGAATTAAGTAATTATCTCTAAAAGTTGGGGTTGTTTGCAAATTTTCTAGAAAATCAATTAAAATAGAAAAAGCGGGTACATGGGTGTTTTTTAAATTATAGCTTAAAACAACTTATTTTAAGAGAAGCAAAAGCTTATTTTGCAAACACTTAAAAACAGACTATGTGCAAAAAAAAAAAAATCATAATCTATTTCTAAGAGCATTTGCAAACACCACCTAAACCGTGAAACATGTTGGATATTGCATTTAAGTCCTTTCAGTTATCTTATTATTATTTTATGTATTTTAACTTAAGTTGTTATATAGCTTGTAGCGTTTTTATTATTTAGAGAAGTGAATAGCGCTTGTACAGTTAGTTTGTTATGGGCTCTTTTGGTTATTACTATTAGGTTATGTCGATTAAATGGTAGGGGTTAATAACAGGGTTCGGTTGACAATATTTGTATTTACTCAAATGCAGTACAAACGTTAAAACCCGCAATTAGTTGTTACTAAACTGCAGCTTACTAAGCGCTGGTTCTATCCCGCCGACAACAAAGCAACCTAGGTGGGATATAGTGAAAGAAAGAGAAGGGGAAGAAGCAAGGTCGAGGAATTGGTCAACATGACCCGAAGATTGCAGGTCAAAATTCTGCCTCCACCGTGACATGCTGTTGAAACCGCCGTTGTAGCTTGTTGGGCTTTCGAATTATTAGCAGGCAAGCCCAAACCTGAAGCTGACTAGGAATTATTAGGGCTTTCGTATATAATCAGTCTGTCTTCTGGCAAGAGAAGCCGTATCGAGAAAGTCCCTCCCAAAGAGCTTAGCCAAGTGTGGACTAAATAAGAAAAAGTCTAATTTTCCTTCAAAGTTACATGTTAACTTTGTTAAATAAAATTTTTTATAATTAAATTATATTAATATCGAAATTTAACAGATTTCATTCAAGCATCTTACAAATATAAATGTGATTTAATATATAGGATTAAACCACCAAAAATCAATTTAAGCATCTTACATTTCAAGCCTGATCTAATTCACTCAGTCTTGATCTCATATTTTCCCACCAAATTCAAACTCAGCATACAAAAATCCAACACAATAAAAATGTAAAAAAAATATATTATATTTAATCTATTTAATTAATTAATTAATTAATTTATTTATTTATTAATTAATTGTGCATTCAGGGGCAGGACCCTGAGGGAACCTTCGAACATCGGTGCAATAATCATACACCATTCTCTCCCTCTGCAGCCTCTTCATATTCTCCCTGCTTCTCTCATCCAACTCCATTTTCAGGAAAGGTTTGGTGGAGTAATCAGCTGCATCGCAGGAAGAAGTTCTTGTTCTGAAGGAATAAACGCAGCCGTCGGATGAGAAGTTTCGGTACGAAGCGACGAATGGGGCTAGATCCCAATTGGTCTTGACACGGCCGCCCTGTGTGGCCCACTCGTCGGCGTTCCACAGGCTCGAATATATTCTCATGGGCTGCTCGTTAGGGTATGGAACACCTAAATGCTCTGCGTTCCTGAATTCTCTTATTGGTATGTTGTCCACGTAGAAACTGAAATACATGAATCGAAATCGACGAAATTCAAAAAAATTGCACTATAAAAATATATTTTCCGAGTGGCCCTATCTATATATCACCCGCGACGATATTAAAATTTTGGCGCGAATCAAGTTTAGTGACAAGCTAAGGGTGAAAACTCGAAATATTTTAATTTATGGCAAATTACGGCCACCTACTGAGATATGGTCAAATTACGAAAAAAAAACTATTTTGTTTGGGTAATTACAGTCACCCCTCTTTTAAAATATTTTTACATAAAATTTATGTAATTCTGTTATTTACCGAACCAAATCGTATATTTAGTTTGGTAAACAGTATCAAATGTTGGCATACCGAAATGTCGGTTCGCTTTTACCGATTTAACACCCTAAATATACATTTGGAGGGATTTTTTCGTAAGATAATACATAGTTGAGAGGGTTGTTATAATTACCCATACATGATGGGGATTTTCGTAATTTGATCATAACTCAGGGGTGACCGTAATTTGCCCTTTAAGTTAATATAAGCATTTAATGACATTTGGTATATCGTCATGATAATTATATACTTGGCCCTATTTTTAATTAATTGTCGTTTTTCAGCTTTGCACTAGTATTAGAATCTCAATAAATGTGTTTTAATTTTATAAATAAAATGTATTAAAAAGACTAAAATAACCTTGATGTGTTATAAAAGAGAGTTTATACTAGAGTTGCATTAACAAGGTTAAAATAGGAAAAAGTACATTTAGTGCAGTATTGAAAATCTAAAATAATAGAATAACATCGATACTTTTTTTTTTTTCCAGAGAAAACTATACTTTCAAAAATTGTATTAAAAAAATTAAAATATGATTGAAAATCAGGATTCATATAAATTTGGAAAAAAAAAAATTAAATTCAAAAATCAGAATTTGAAAATAAATAAGTTTTAATGAATTAAATTCTCTTAGCAAAATGACAAAAGAAAAAAAAATTGATAGAAAAGTTGATAATTTACTTACATAATGGACTTGGGATTCCAAAGAATGGAATAGGTGTGGAAATCTTGTGTTGGGTCAAACCAAAGATAGAATTGTTGCTCTCTATCACCTTTGCCTTGGCTGAACACATTTGTATGTACAGTGTATGGATCACCACTTGTGTTCCCCAAGAACTCAAAATCTACTTCATCATGGTGGTCACCATCTGATGCCAGCTGTCACACACATCATTTTTCTTAATTACACTATCAAATTAAAATTAAACTCCACTAATTATTATTGTACTTACACATGTGATACATATTAGCTTATTTGTGGCACAAATTAATTTTTTTTTAATTCAAAAAAATCAATTTCAGAATTAATTGACAAGAACCACTCCCTCTGTCCTATACCATTTGTCTTTTTGGAGTATTTTTTTATTTATTTTTTTCCCCCAAATTATTGGTCATTTCGGAGTTCCAATAAAGTATTAGTTGTATGTTTATCAATTTTGTCCATTATTACTCTTAATTAGTTAAATGAAAAAAATTAACGACAAGGGTATTTTAGTATTTACTATGTTATTTTTTGTATAATCTGTGCATATTTATTGAGTTTCTTAATATAAGGACAACCGTCCAGAACGACATATAATATGGGACGGAGGGAGTAATTAATAATGTAAGATAAAAATCTTACATAATATGTTGTGACAGTGCCCGCAGAATTTCCAGGGACGAGTTTGATTTGCATGTCGATTCTTACGAATAAGTACACTTTCTTGGACTCAAAACCGCCGCCGGACAATTTGTCGAGTGTAAGGGTAAGCATTTCGCCGTTATCGACCCTATTGATTTTGTTCTCACCCCACGACGCAATGAAGTGCCGGTAAAACGTACCATTTCCGAACCTCAAGTTCGGGCTGTAAAACATAAAAGAAAAATAATAATAAATAAATAAATAAATAAAATTAATTATTTTGAATTTTAGATCCAAATTAATTTCATATGAATTTTAAATTCAATTGGGGGTGATTAATTATCGTAAAATTTAAAATTGAAGCTGTCAGTGTCGATTGAATTGGTCCCAATATTTTTCTGTGGTCTTCATTGAATCATATAAGATAAGTATTTATCCTATGCATGTGTATTATTTTTGTCCTTTTATTCTATCCATTTTGTTCCTTCATTTCTTTCGTGCATTATTTATTTATTTTATTTTATTTTATTTTATTTATTTATTTTATTTTATTTATTTATTTTATTTTATTTATTTCTTTTATTTTATTTATTTATTTTTATTTATCTTTTCCAACTTTTGAGATCTCTTCATTATGAAGGATGCAATTACCTATAGGATACGATACCCACTGAATAAAGTTATTATCTTACATATATGTTTATAGTTTGGTATCATGTGTTACAAAATAAAAATATTATTTTTATTTGTTCTATTAAATCGATACACAATAAGTAAAATTAGATGATTTTAATTATTTATCATTCTATTAATTGTAATACAAGAAGCATTATTCATTCAATATATAATCAAGCAAACTGCCACACAACCAAATAAAAAGATCTGTAGTGGTTAATTAGTAAATTAGTCAACACTAACCATATCTATCAAACTATATATAGAGTAAATCAACATCTAATAACTTCTGTTGTAACATTATTATTATATTACAGTAAACATTAAACTAAGATGTAATGAAAACAGTTGCTAGCTTTTAGCACAAGAAAATTCCATTTACATATACATACATATATACAAATACATATACATATATACGAACTTTGATGAAGTATTTATATTACCTTGTTAGGCTGTCCAGGTAATTATTATAACTTGGAGCACCGGAGATCGTTTGCGATATAATGATATCCACCTATGAACGAAACGCGCGCGCGTTGAATTAATCAACATTATATTATATATATTAATGCATGAAATATATATAATGTAGGGCAAAAAGGATATTGTTGGGATGAGTTTAATTAATAATAATGAAATAAATTAAAAAAAATATATATATATACCTTGAAAACAAAGATGGCGGAAAAGAGTATAAAAGCTAAGTAAGGTAGGAATTTGTGGGAACGAGAAGAAGAGTGTGATGAATTCCTTTGATTCATTATACCCATTCTTGGTTTCTTGATTTCTTGATTTCTTACACTACTTGGAGAGACAATTGTTTATAGCTTTCCTTTTGTCTTTTTAAATATATGCATGATTCACAATGCATCACTCCCACCTACCTATTTATATTTATTGCTGTTTTTTTCCCCAAGTAAAACTAGACAACATTTTTTGTAAGAATGTCTGTGTTTTTTTTCTTTTTTTCATTTTTAGGGGACATTGTTAACTAAATTTAATTGAGAGAAAACAAAATTTAATTAAAGAAAAAAATAATATCTAGTTCGCCGCTTGATTCTTGATTCTTGGTTCGTCGGTTCGCGGTGAATCGATTTTACGGTCCAATAAATTAGATAATTAATATAATTTTTAATATTGCAAGGGTATAAAAGGGAGAAATATAAGTAAAAATGGTGGATGTGAAAATTAAAGTTGCAATGCAAGTTGTTGCAAGATAAAATGCTCACATGCAAATATCAAAGTTGCGTCACAATCACATACAGTGGTGCTTTCAAGGTACAATATAATTGAGCGAAAAAGAAATTGTTTATAATTAGAAATAATTTCAATAGAATAATTAATGAATTTAGAAATAATACAGTTAAACCTCGATAAATTAATAGAGTTGGGATTAGAAAAATTCTATTAATTTATCGAATTATTAATTTATCGAATTATTAATTTATCGAGTTAATAATTTAACACGTTTTCATCGAGTCAGGATCGAGAGAAATTATTGCTTAATCGAGATTATTAATTTTATGGAGTATTAATTTATCGAGGTTCTACTGTAATTGTAACTACAAATCATTAACCCAAAAATTAACTGATTTGTCTAAAGAATGACTTATGTTAACTTTCATTTATAGAAGCCAACTCTCTCCCATTAAATGTATGTTAGAATCGGTGAAATACATCGAGTAGGTCATTACTTGTTAAAAGATTTTTCTTTCCTTCATTATATTTGCAGTTGTTATTTCACTTATTACAATTAAAAAAACGCATTTTTATTTGTACAAAAAGCTTGTATCATATTAAGAAGAGTAAATTTCACTTTCCCCTTATACTTTGGGTCCATGTCACTTTATTCTCTTCTACTCTCGATTGCATCAATTTGCCCTTATGTACTTGAAAAATTGTCTCAATGTGACCCTCACTGTTAGTTTCCAGACATTTAACCTTAACACCGTTTAATCTAAGTTTGAAAATTACTAAAAAGTCACCCCTCTCAGTTTAAATAAAAGTTAAGTTTGAAAATTACTAAAAAGTCACCCCTCTCAGTTTAAATAAAAGTTAAAATAAATTGTGGCTGGCGTCGTGGACTGTGTTTTTTCGTTGTCTTGAATTTTTTTTTATTGTGTTCTTTGTTTTTTATTTATTTATTTTTTAATAATTATTTAAATTGGGACAGGTGACGTTTTTGTAATTTCAGAGGTTAGATCAAACGGTGTTAAGGTCAAATGTATGACAACTAACAACGAGGGTCACATTGAGATAATTTTTCAAGTGCAGGGGAGCAAATCGATGCAATCGAAAGTAGAAGATAGTAAAGTGACACCATGCCAAAATATAGGGAGAAATTGAAATTTACCCTAATAAGAATTATGTTTCTCTCTCTCCTTCCTCTCTCTTCAAGTTTTCCTGCGTTTTAATGGAGTTTTTCCTATAAACTCGATCGATTAACATTACCATTTCCTTTACACACAAATATATTGGTGTGTAGACTTGATCGGGTATTCAAGTGTAGCATATATTTGACCTTCTATGTCAAATTTAATATTCCGGTGAGAATGTGGCCGGTGATTCACCGGAATTTCAGGCGGATATCTTTTTGGCCTTGAAGTGACTTTTTTTTTTCACTTCAATATAATGACTCTCTACCTTTTATTTATTTTGATTTATTAAGCACTTTCAGTTAGGCATATGGTAGTCGGTGCAATAAATATTTAAAACACAACATACACGAGACATTAACTAGATTTAAAAAAACAAAGAAGAAAAAAAAAACTAATAGATACTATTATTATGA